GTCAATCATAAGGGCTTCTACTTTATATGTGTGCCTGTGCTTAGCTCACTGTCGGTCTGAGTGAATGTTTGCTTGAGTAAATGAAGGTTGTCATGCCTGCAGGGATCCGCACAATAAGCCAGAGGTAAAAATCACAGCTTATTAATGCCTCCTTGTGTGTGCGTCTCTGCAGGTGTGGAGCACTTTATTTGCCATAGCAGCATTTCGATGAGAGCTTAAAAACACAACCTTGATGTCTGCTGTATGCATGGTCGGCTGTGTTTCCTTCTGTGTAACTGTGTCACAGTAATTACAAACATCAAGGTCAGGTTTAAAAGAATCCATCTGCAAAAGAGTGGAAGAAAACTTTGGGTGATTTAACATTCACCCAGCGATCCCCTTTTCTTCAGTTTGTGACAATTCTGTTTTCTAAGTGTTGTAACATTGAAAAATATTGATTTTAGCTTTTGGATACAACTATTACAGCTTGTCCTGCCCGTAAGTGTGCTGTCGGAGCCCAGCGCTTCCGGCAAGATCGAGCCACAAGAACAGAGGAGTGATCAATGGCATCGATCATGGCAAATCAACAGTCCAATGATCAAGCAAAGAGAAATAAACTCCACGTCAAAAATAATCCAAAAAGAGAAGTCTTTGAAACTATTTTAGATTAAGCGTGAGGTAAATCTAGCCAGATCAAAGGAGATACAAAAAAGAAACGACTCGCAGCTAAAACCTCTGAATCAAAAAGGAGTCAGTTGCAAATGATAGTGTTTATCCACACACCAACCTACAAATAACCGCCTGTTTAAGTCCCATGAACCCTGCCGTCTTTGCCATTTGAGTCACAGAGAATAATACGTTTTCTAAATATGGGTTTGATAGAGGAATTTAAAATGAGAAGGCCTTTGTTTATTTTCTCTCCCAGAAATATGTCAAAGTGAAGCAAACAGCCTTTAAACATAAGGCACTGACTTTACTACAGAGCTGTAAGTAATTTATCATAAAGTCTCCACATGCAAACACTACCCCCATCTTCAGGGATAGCATGCAAGCATACAAGCTTCATACTGTGATGTGTAAATCATGTCCTAACATACATGCACACAAAGGAGCATGCTATTGATATGTTTGACCGCATGCTGTGTTTGTGCATCACAGACTCATAAACACACTGGCACGGACTAAATAGGGCATGACCTTGCAGCCTCTATAAACAGGAGAGCTGTAACGATGGGTCTGTGCTTCTTCTGTGTGCATGAGAGAATGTTTATGAAGTTTGGAGAAAGCGTATGACTTATTTAGACAAATTCAAAGACACAGAAGAAAAAAAATCAGCATCTGATAAGCATGGTTTTCTTCCCTCGCTCACTGATGCACCCACAATATCCCCCCTCTACTTCCCCTCGGTGCCTCCCTATCTGGCAGCGGGCCAGTTTCCAAACGCGGTGATGGAGCAAAAGAAAATTGATTTCTAAAGAGCTCTGTCTGCTATTCCCGGATATGAAATATGCAACCAGTTATTAGTCTAACACTGATATTAACGTAAGAAGACAACCATGTCAAGATATATATTAAAGATGTCTCTCTTGTTCCCGCTAAAGAGAAACATAAAACAGTGTAAAAATGATAATGCCACTTGTTCAAAGCGTGCAAAAATCATCATCAATACGTTGCAATTGTGATGATATCTGCTTTGTTTGTGAGGAAAAAAAGAGAGGCACAAACAGCTCTCGGTTGGCACGGCGATGATGCTGCTGTGACACAGACAGACTCAATATCTTTATATTAATACCTGCACAGCGGATCCTTTCATTATACTTATTGCACAGCTATTAATGAGTGCACACTAAGAAAGGTCAAATGGCCCACACACCAATGCACATGAGCACACACATGATGCACTCGTGCAAAAAAAAAAAAGAAAAACTTGCATGCACACAGTCAGCAGAAAAGGTCACAGCATACGTTGTGTGAGAGAAAAATATTCGAAGAGGATAAGCTGCCTGTTGCTATGGAGCACTCCTGGAGGAAAATATACACACACATATTTACAGACGGACACCTACACACGATGCTTTATCAATCTTAAAGAAAGTGGAGCAGTTGTTCGCCTGTGACCGCTAACATGCACACACACTCGCGCACACACTCGCACACACACTCGCACTCCCTCAATCAATCCTTGTCCTATTAAAAAAAGAGCGGAAGCTGCAGCCGCTTTAAAGAGCAGCACTGCCTCAATTATTGCCCTCGGACTGCATTTGTGTGTGTGTGTGTGTTTATCAGTGTTTGTGTGCGAGTGAGTGTGCATATGCTCTATTTGTATGTATGGAGGAAATGCGGGCACTTTTCAAGACTACGTTTCCTCTGTTTATTCCTCCAGGACTGTGTAAATTATGCCAGTCGGTTAATCAGATTCTCCCCCTGATGCAGTTCAGCACCTCATGAGAGACGTTCAGACAGACAGAGAGAGAGGGAGAATCAAATGGGCTCCTGTACATCTAATGGCTCAGAGCCTCACTGCATATGTTCCACAATATGAACATGCTAATTCACTTTCTAAATAAAAAACATTTTCAATTTGTTTTGCTCCTCTTAGTATCTTCACCTTGAGTGAAATAAAAGGCAGTGTGTTGGCATGATATAAGCTGTTAGATATTTATTTATCCGTCACTGTGCTACCACAGATTCTATGACAGTTAGAGAGGCTAGAACTATGAAACTTTCTTTAGTGTGTCAATGAAATATACTCGAATAAAAGAATTGTATTCAGCCACGATTTTCATTATTGGGTACTTCTAATGTCATTGTACGAGGTACAGAGCGCAAACATGCAGATTTTAGAAAAATGTTAAATGTTTTTTCCAGCGTTTGTCTTCTTTTGTGATACTGAACAGACTAATTGAAAATTAGAGGGGTTTGAAAAAGGGGTTTGAATCAATTATCTTTGTTATCAATGTCTGTTTTTATTATTTATTTGGTCACCTGACTGTTTGATGTACATAATGCACAAAATAATGTCTTATGTGCAACAAACAAGATTACTCATAATAGGATAACTATTGTAACATCACATCATCAGTCCAGTAAAACTAAGCTGTCTCACGATGGTCTAAACCCAGCTCATGTTCCCTGTTAGTGGGTGAACTATACAACGTTTGATTAATTCTGCCTCACAACGATAGGAACAGCCGACATTGAAGGATCAAACAGAACTAAATAAGAACTGAAACAGATCTAAACAACGCACAATTACTATCCTGTTTGTTAACAGTTCAATTAAAGAGCCAATCATTCCAGCTCTTGTTCAAACTGCTGTTTAGGACAAAAAAAAACATCTTTCTTTCTGGATGATATTTAAGGGAAATCTCCTCTAAATGCTGCCCTTATATAGACACAGTGATAACTTATTATTTGGTAGATTAACAATTTTGATTACAATCACAAGTTGAAGCTCTAATATGGTGAATAAGATGCATTTTCTTTATTATCTATTCTAATCTAGCTCTGTGACACGGTGCTGCAGTGACCTGAAGTACAGTACAAGTCAGCGCATGCTGATCAATATCTGTATGTAAACAGAGCATGAAGCCACAGCTCGCCTCAGGTTGGTGGGGCTACATGTCGGAAAAACAGACCCGGTGCTACTCAGTGGAAATAAAAGAGGCAGAGTGCAAACTGCAGAGAGTGCCGCTCGGGGTAAAATGTTCTTTTTCGGAGGACTGATGGTTGCTGTGTGATGACATAAATAACTTGGAATTGTTTTACTTTATGACACCTCATTACAATGTGTCTGAGTGAGGGATGTGTGATATTTGGGGATATCCTGTACTGTAAATGTGTGTATGTGTGTGTCTGTCCTGGTGACAGGCAGGCAGGCGCTGTGTAAAGGCCATAAGCTGGTTCATCCAGCCTCAGACGCCCAGTATGAAGCTGACTGGACATTTATCCCAGAGTGACAAATAGTTGCATTGAGGTTGGGCTCTCAATGAGATGGATAGGGTCCAGTGAAACTAGATGCAGCAAGTATCAGCACTAATCCATATTATATCTGACATGTGTCTCATTTTCACATTTCACTGGGAGTCATTACGGAGGAAGGCACGGAGCTCAGGGTTTGCTATGCTGTGAAAAGTTTCTAAATCATGTGGAAAATCCCTGCGTCTAATTCCAACTTCAGCAGGGTTGCCAGGTTTTTCTACATTCATTGAAACCGCTCTACAGCTGAGATGATCAGTGCAATATGAGAAGAGCTGATTGCCAGAAAATTAACCTGCAACCACTTCGATAATGATTTAAAGTAAATCATCAGGAAGACATGCCAACAATTCTCTGGGGTCATATTTTCAAACGTAAAGATGAGCTGCTTTTGTCCATCTCTGTTTTACTGTGAAGTAAACACCTTTGGATTTTAAACTATTGAAGTGAAAACAGCAGCTCAACTTTGTCTCTAGCATAGTGTGAGTCTTAACTTTTTTTTCTTACATTTTAAAGACCTAGCAATTAGGTGATACATTGGGAATAACATCAAGTTAATTGCCCATTGGTTGCAGCCTTACAGTTGTACAAAACCTTATGGTAGCATACAAAGGCAGTCTACAAACACAGGTAGGCTATATACATAAAAAAGATGAGTAAAATAGTGCTTCGTTAAGAAATTGATCCAGGAAACGCCCAAGACTTAATTAAAGCATTATAGAAAAAAAACTACAATATCATGCAGCAGTAGATGCTGCATAGCCTATAATGAAATGTAGAGCAACACCATGTCCTGGATCTATGTCGAGTTTCCAAAAAAAAAACAAGATACCACAAAGTTTGCAGATGTTCTACTATACAAACTCGGACGCTCACTATCCCAGCAGGAGTTTCCATAGACATATTGAGTGATTTTAAACTTTCGGTAGGCTATTCTGCTTGAAACAGACCGTCCAGACCATCAAATAACGAGGGGCAACACAGGTCGATAATGCATCTGTTGAACAAACTGGCCAGTCAGTATTTGCCAGTCCATCACTCACCTTGCGCAGAGGCAGTGACTCCTCTTGACGAGACCGTCAACCATCCGCCAACTGCCTGTAATCCTTTAACGTCCTTTAAAATCCGTCACATACACACAAGCAGTCTTAGCAGGTGGCGCTGCTCTTCAGTCGAGCTATTCTGTGTGTTTTCTTGCAAGAAATCACGTCGTCCTCTCCAGAAGAAATTAATAAATAAAGAATAAAAACAGAACTCCCTCGCGTTGCTCTCTGTCGTGATGTGCGTGTCCTCTAGCGACTCCTCGGCAGCCCCGTAGTATCGCGCGGAGGAAAGAAGAAACGCTGCTCTGTTGATATCATCCACTACTACTCCGACCAAAAGGCACCGCGGAGAGGAAAAACAAAAACAAAGTGAGCTATCCCAGCGCGAGGGAGGAAGAGGAGGGGCAGGGTGAGAGGAGATGATGGTGATGATGATGATGATGATGATGATGATGAAGAAGACGAAGAAAGTGGGAGCAGCCTTCACTGGGATGAATGAAAGACAGAAAGCGCTCTCGGCTCACCAACGTGTGTGTGTGCGTGTGTGTGTGTGTGTGTGAGTGATAGTGAACAGTGAGAGAGTGAGTGAGTGAGTGGGAGCTCTGGTCGAGTGAGTAGGTCTCCGCACGGTGCACCCACATGAATATCGTCTTACATAAAAAATGAACTGAGGCTGAAAGAGCGCGCGAATTACCATTGCATCTCATTATCTTAAGGTTGATTTTGTGTTTCTGGCAGGCTTATCAAGTGTTTGTGCGGCTCAGGTGTGCACCAACCGACCTGTCAAACTCAATGACTTTCAATGTTCTCCTTCTTTTCTTTTCTTTTTAGATTACAATGGTATCACTGTGTTCAGATAATGATTTGGTTTTATTACATTGGGTGGAAATATGACTGCTGGAACATCTTTGAAAAACAAAACGTTAACAAAACAAAGCACTTTATCTAAGCGAGGCTACACAATACAGGTATATTTTAAGTAGCTTTTCTCCATTCAAACTGTCATTCATTGCATAGGCCTATAACAATTGATTCATTTATTCAACCTGTTGTGAGGGGTGTCAGATATTATGTGCAACAATATGTGTATACTGTGTAACAGGAATTCAGCGTGGTGCACTTTGGCGCCCACCAAAGGGCTCTGAGTGCAACTGCACTGTTGTAGGACAGTGCTGTTATGCCGTCTCCACTCCACTTAGACAATATGCTTTTGTTGACAAGCAGACGGGCGGTTGTAAGAAGCCAAAGACAAACGTCAACAGACGAGGAACACTAATATTATTGGATTTTTCCAAATATGACTCTGCCAGCGTCTACAGCCCGTTGTAGAGACAACTTTAACTTTTGCTGTTAGTTGGATTTATTAATTTAATTGTATGCTTACCTGACACAACTTTGGTTTCGATGCATTTCTACATCCGGTAAAGCTGCTAAACATGAGACAACGATGGCAACTTTACAATACAGCGATGTGTTATGGATAATATCTGCAGGTATGTACACTCGACTTCTTGCTCGGTCCGTCACCGTCCTCTTTTGTCTATTTGCCTGAGCAATTTTACCTGACAGGACGAGCTAACTGGTGAATGCATAAAGCCGAACACACTTCTTGCGATTACCGCGGGCCACTACTTACAATTTTTACCATCAAAGAAATTAGCTATTGAGACAAAAATAACTTTTTTAGAACTATGCTGTTTTTGTTTTAGAAAATATGCATTTTAATTTCCATTTGTATAGGGATTCCTTGGCTTTTGGACCTAGCCTCCAGTGGACACTTACGGAACTGCAGTTTTTTACTCTTTCACATCAAATACATTTTTCATTACCTATAAGGTTTCAAAAGTTTAGTCAACGAGGAAGTGCATAACTGTGTCCTTTCTAACAGCCAGCAGGAGGGAGAAACCAATGGCTGTAAAAAAAAAAGAAATGTGTATGGAATCAAATGTGAAGCCTTCTTCTCTGTTGATATAATTTGAGTAAACATCTTCCTCATGGTTTTATGGTCTCCTTCTCTACTTTCAAGTCTTCAGAAATACAGCATGATGTTCACTTTGTTAATAATGGTTTTAATAAACATATAATTATTTATAAAGCATGTCTTGGTTAAGGGCGTGGCAAATTGTGATTTTTAGTTGCCACTGAAGCCCGTCAACCAGGATACAGATACAATGAAGCATATCCAACCTGTCGTCCAAATATAGTTATTTCTAACTAAAAAAAAAAATATGGTGATGTCTGAAATTGTGAAATTGGGTCTTCAAAAGTGTGGTGGTTCAAAATAACCAATGAGTGAAGTCATGGTGGCTGTGTCTAATTTTTTCATATATTCCATTGGAATAATGAACAAAGATAAACCTTTAGGAATGCAGGTGGATAATTATCATGCATTTTATTTCTTTTATATCACGATCAACAGTTCTAATAATACTTAATGCTTGAGTATTATCAGGGCTGCTTTGGCCTGTGTCTTGAATGGTCCTTTATCATTTAAGTTAGAAAAGTGCCTTTTAAGTGCTTAAGTGCATTTGCCCTTTGCCAGAGTGCTGACCATTGGGCCAAGAATTTGTCAACCTTTTTCATAATCGGTTAAACATTTATGTCTTCTATCAAGCAGAAATGTCATGTTTACTGGTCTTTTACTGTCAAAAATAGAAATTGGTGGCGTTTCTCAGTTCTATTTCATTGCACATTGGACGCCTTTGGTCTTTGGACCATTAGTCAGACAAAAGCCGCTGTTTCATAGACTTAGACGTTAGTCAGTTTCATTTCTATAATCACGTGTATAAATAACAATAATAAATAAAATAAATAACATTAATTGCAGCCCTATTTCTACCCGACCAAGCCAGTACTAATAATAATGCTGCTGCTTATTTCTCCAAAGGGTTAATTTATCCTCCGATTGTTTTCCGCACACATGTTGATGTTACACTGAGGAACAGCAGGGAAGATGCTGACTAGTCAACTGACGAGCTACAATATGAAGAAGATTTCCGGTGTTATCATTGTTGGTCTAATTACAAACCCCCGGAACAGAGCGCACTTGTGTTTACACGGGGGGATTCTACAAATCATTATCTCTGCAAACACAAACTGTTGCAAATGAACCCACATTTCAGGAGGAAGTATTTCTAAGGAATTTGAATAAACAAACCGTTGCTTTTGAATCCTTATCAAACCAAAACAACACTACACAGCTATGAATCATCGTCCAACTCATAGAAACCCAATGTTTGGTGCCAGTATGCCTCGAACAGCCAACAAAAAAACACCCTTGATCCATCAAAAATGGCATTAATTTACTTTAGACTGCAAACACATCCCCTTAGCAATCGTATGCACCAAATTTAGAGCTTAACTGAAAAGAATGACATTGCTCTGCCCTTTATTTTATAATTTTTCTGTTCGATTATCCCAAGTCTTTTTGAAATGCCACTTTTTCTCGCTAGCGTATGGATGTGTATTCATTCCGGCAGAATGGGCGCCCATTACACGCTTTCAGAGGCTGTGACAGCAGCCTTCAGTGAGGAAGCCAAACACTTCACAGCTCAGACAATGTACCCCGGCAGACACACACAAGCATGCACTCGCAGATTCAGATACACACGAACTCACTGACACAATGCACATTGACGAGATGAAAGGGCCAATTTATCAAACCACCAGCCAAGGCAGGCCTGAGGACGTATAGTGCCAGCACTGGTCTGGAGAAAGAGGGCAGGATGTGCCTCTGAGTGAGTGTGTTTAACTTTGTGTGACTTTCCTTTTTTTTTTATTTTTATTGCCTTGACGGTAAAGTCATTCCTCTTAACTTGAGAAATTTTTACCAAAGGCAAAAGTGCATGTTATGTTAAGAACATCAATGATAACGCTTATGCAGATTGACAAGACTGCTTGACTGAAGAAAGAATCATTCCTGGGATTGTCGGGTGCTTTGGTGTAAACGAGAGAATGTACGTGCATTAGTTTGTTAGGATAGAGCGAGGAGAGATAGTGTCCAGGGTCTGTCCCATGTTATTTCTCATTAAACTGCAGGATCGATGTTCATTCTCAGCATTTACTGCATTTACAAGCCCGGGCTAATCCACTATTAGAGAGCTGCGTGACAAAGCTGCAGAGAAGATATAGGAGTGCTTGGGAAAAGGGTTGTGTGTAGAAGACAAAAGAACAACACCAAAATGTGTCCAATACTCGTTGTGAACATTTCACAGCACTCTGTTGTGTACCGACATCCTCTCTGTTGGGCATTGATCAGTTGCAGGGATGTTGTCAAGTCTTGAAACTGTTCATCTTTCTGAGGCGAGAAGAAGGGATTGAGACTGACACAATAAGAAAGAATCTCATTTGATTTAGAACCAGATTTATGACAGTGACAGATGTGTTGCTGAGCTCCTATACACCAGTATTGAACTCTTGGACAGTGACATGATGGAGGCTTTCCTAGAAAATAATGGAAACAAGAAAGTCTGCAGTGATATTGTATTTTCTTGGGGCATTTCATTCGCTTCTCAGGCCTCTTATACATAATTGATTTTCATAAATTCATTTGCCTAGATTCCACAGCTGCAAAATTGATTACATTGATTTGAGAAGCTGCTCATCTACCTGAAAGTATTCCTTTTTTTTTTTTTTTAGTCAGGCTTGATGGTAGATTTCATCGCCCAGTGTTGATGCCCCTCCAACTGCATCCATCAGTTGTTCATTTTTTAAGTCAATAAAAAAACACACACATCTGTATTTCTAAACTAGTCACTTGTTTGGCCTGTGAGTCAAGCTTTAATATCATCATCATCATAACATTTTCCACACATTCATGTAAAGTACAAGTTTTTGTCCTGCTTGTATTCGTCCTTCTTATTTTCAGTTGTAAAATCCATGAGCACTACTGTGTCTCCGGCTGTAGCAGCAGCTGTTTTCTTCAGCCAACTTTACTGACTGTCATCATTGGCACAGAGAGCATCATAGCAACCAGCAGACAAGAGATACACTGTCTGACCTCACACTGCCCTTGTTTTCTATCACCTTCCTCCACTTCAATAACAGGCATTTTTCAGGGTTTCTGTTTTTTCCGACAAGCCTTTAAAGTTTGAAGCCATTTGTCAATCTCATGCTGTTGATGTGTGTTGCTTCTTGCTGTTGCCCAGAATTCCATCTTCCATCATGATTTTTCCCTCTATGTGATGTCTACAATGTGCATTCAAAATGCACACATTAATGGAAGGTTTCCTGTTTGCTTCATCCTAAATAAAACTGTGTGTAGCAAATTAAAGCCATGTAGAAACAGAAAATAAATCTGCACTTTAGAAAGTAGTACACCAGATTTTATTTTCACTCTTCAGCTAACTCCCTAGCTGAGCGAGTGTTTATATTTAGCTGTGAATATGGATGTGTTTATGTGTGACGGGGGAACATTACAAGCATTAGCCCCCTCATTTTGTGAAGTCCGGTCCAGTTCGATGCATCTGTTGGGTTTTGGCTGCAAGGATTCTGGACCGGTTTGCTTGATTCGGCTCCAAAGTCTGAGGGCAGCCTGCTGGCATTGCCAGTTGGTGACGAGCCTTAGCCGGGTGTGCTGCCCATTTTTTGGGGGGAGGGGGTAAAAGTAAGGCAAGCTCCAAGAATCATGGTCCCAAAAGTATTCACAAAACT